TTGAGCTCACCTTGTAGCCCAGGTTGATCTCAAACTTGCAGTGATCATCCTGCCTCAGCCTCCCGAGTACTGGGATTATAGGTGTACACCTCCACACCTGGCTTTTATTTGGTTCTTATCCAATTTGGTTTGTGACCAGAATCATTGAAACAATCAAGTCTGTGAACCAGGGCACCACTGTATTGAATTTAATAAAGCATCTGTTTCTCTTGCATAATGAAAATGACAATAATGTCTACATATCAGATTAGTACTGTGTGATGTTTTGCGTATGTTAGGCACATAGTACCTTGTACATACTTGGTATCATTCTGTATGTCTATGTATATACATACCATATATGTATAAATGTAGCCTTATATTTATAGAATATATGCATACATATCTGAATACACGTTTCTATGTATTATTAATATATTTTATAAACATTTTTAATGTTTATTGTTTATCCATGATTTTGTCATGGTCATTGTTCTACTGTTAAACTTTATTTGAGATGGGGTCAGGTGATGTTTTTCTGGCTGGCCTGAATCTCCTGGGTTTTATAGACCCCAGATAGTTTGTACTAGAGGTACAGGTTACCATACGCAGCTAATTAACTCCCCCCTCACTGAGTGCTGGGAGTTGAACTTAAGGCTTTCACACTGAACTATATAGCAGCCTATTTTATTTTATCTTATTTTACTTTATGATGAGGGTCTCACTAAATTGCTGAGATCTTTGAAGATCAAAAGCAAAACCTGTTACTCAGTGAAATAAAACAGAAACATGAATGACAGATGAGGCCGGACCCAAGCCCTGGGGAAGCAGAAGAAGGGAATACTGTCCTGGGATTCATATGAGGGAGTTTCACAGTGGAAGGGACGCTGCAGTGTGGGTAGGGTTACTGGCAAAACCCAGAAGAGTGTGGGCTCTTCTGTAATACAGACTCTTCTCCATGTTAGTTTCAAATTTGGAATCTTCCTCAGTCTCCCAGAGTGTTGAGGTGATACGTATACACCACCACCAGTTGTTTAACTTTTTCTTTTTCTTTTTTTGTCTCTTTGAGGTAGGGTTTCATTATGCAGTTCAAGCTGGCCCTGAACTCACTTTGTAGCCAGGGCTGGCCTTGAACTTGCAGCAATCCTCCTGCTTCAGCCTCCTGAGTGCTAGGGTTACAGGTGTGCACCATCATGCCTGGCCATACTTAATTTTTTAAAGAGCTTTTTCTGGCTTTTGTTGTTAATAAATAACACATGATGCAGTTGCAATGTTCTATGAAGTTAAGATTATTTCTTTAGGTTAGATTCCTGGATGTGAAGTTATTGGCGAGTTTATTTAAAGTTAGAAATATGTGTGCGCATATATGTGTGCACCCGTTTGGATACCTGTCCAAAAAACTAATTTGAAATGCCATTTGCAGTGTCCCTAGGACCTGATCCCTCCACAGTATTGGAGTTCTCTCTCTCTCTTTTTTAAAAAAAAGATAATTGAATAAAACTGGCCCAAATTGAGAGAAAACACTGACGTTGATTTGGACTATCTTGATTTAAAGTGTGTAATTTCTAAGGCTGTGTTTTAATATGCCTAGCGGGCAATTGAAAAATCAGGGTTTATAGCAGTGTGGAGATACAGCAGTATTCATAAGAGAGGAGGGAATATTTGAAGGCTTATACTCTTAGAAGTTTAGGGAAGAGATGAATTAAAATATTTTAATCCTATTTTACAAAATACAAACATGAAGTTCAGGGCGCTGTGGGAAATCATAGTGTTTCTTTTCAGGCTTACTGCTGTTCTTCCCCATTTCTCACAAATGTAGCCGCTTGAATTTACTGTCTTTGAGTCTCCTCACAATACTCCCTTCTACAGAAGAGCCCATACTCTTCTGGGTTTTGCCAGTAACCCTACCCACACTGCAGCGTCCCTTCCACTCTGAAACTCCCTCATATGAATCCCAGTACAGTATTCCCTTCTTCTGCTTCCCCAGGGCTTGGGTCCGGCCTCATCTGTCATTCATGTTTCTGTTTTATTTCATTGAATAACAGGTTTTGCTTTTTGATCTCCTTCAAAGACTTTGACCTCCACTGTGTTCTGTCTAGGAAAGGGCTTTGTTCTGAGCTGTGATTAACTGGCATAAAGATGTCCTTTGAAGATCCCAAACATAGGCGTAACAAGAAGCAAACTGATACCACACCTGTCTAATTTCAGTGACAGTAAAATTGAGAGAGAAAGGCCATGGGAGTCTTGAGTTTTTAAAATTGTAGTTTTACTCTCATTTTTGGTATTAATTCCATTTGGCAAGAAAGCCTTACCTTTGCAAATACAGAAAGATACTGAAGTGCTGAGCATTGTAGGACCACTCTCTCTCCCTGATAGCCAGAATCTATACTTGTCAGTTTTTATCTTTTGTGTAAACTATACAGAGCACAGACATGTGCCTTGTGGCCTTTTTGTCAGTTACATGTGAGTTAAAATTCTATTTTTTCACTATGCCTTAAATGTTTAAAGTTACAAGAGTATCATGCCTGTGATAAAAATTCAAATAATACCAAGGTACACAAAATAAAACCTGGAAGCCCTCTTTTTATACTTTCAATATTACTAACATTTTTTGTCTGTGGTAAAGAGCTTGATTTTAAGTATTTCTTTCTTTCTTTTCTTTTCTTTCTTTCTTTCTTTCTTTCTTTCTTTCTTTCTCTTTCTTTTTCTTTCTCTCTCCCTCTCTACCCCCCGTCCTCCTCCTCCGCCTCTGGGCAGTAGATTGAAATCAGAGCCTTCACATTGAGCTATATTCCCAGTCTTAAAAATTTTTTTATTTTTATTTTTGATATTTTTAAAATTTTTGTCTTTGAGACAGGGTTTCGCTATGCAGTTCAGGCTAGCTTTGAACTCACTTTGTAGACCAGGCTGGCCTCTAACTTGCAATAATCCTCCTGCCTCAGCCTCCCAAGTGCTGGGATTACAGGCATGCACCACCAAACCCAGCTCCCAGTGTTTTTTAATGCTTTAAATTTTGAGACAGGGTCTCGCCAAGTTGCTGAGGCTGAGCTTAAATTTGAAATCCTTCTGCTTCAGCTTCTCAGAGTGCTGGAATTACAGGCATGCAACACCGTGTGTACTTCCATTCCTATTTCTGTATATTTTCATTTACTCGTCAATCTGATTTTTTTTTTTTTAGGCAGGGTCTTGTGATGTAGTCCAGACTAGCCTTGAAGTCACTGTGTAGACCAGGCTGACTTTGAACTTGCAGTGATCCTCCTGCCTCAGCCTCTCGAGTGCTGGGATTACAGGTGTGTGCCACCACGCCTAACCAATCAGAATTTTTAGAAACACAACTGGGATATAGTTGTGTTTGTATGTATAGTAACTTGTTTTTTATTTAACAATATGTATCAAAGAGGCGTGTTAGTACGTGTTGATTTTCCCTTTTAAGTGCTGTATACAAAATTCTAAATACATTTGTGGGCAAAATAGAAAAATCTAGGGCATATATAAGATACTTCATGTCATTAAGAGATAGCCCTACTGATGCTGAGACATATGAATGCCTGATAGTACAGACTCTTACCCTTGACTAGTTTGCATGGACACACTTTGTCTTATTTAACTCTTGAAATATAAATAAATATTTTATTCCAGTTGCTTGGCACATAATTACACTCAGTACTATTTGTAAAATGAATGAATAATCCAGACTTGAGGGAGAGTGTTCTATATTGAAGAACAGAGTTTTGGTAATATGAATATAAAGTCTACCTATGATGATTTCTGTAACATATCTCAGGTTGTCTGCTCTTAAGTTTTCATTTAAGTCCTATAGGAGGAGCTGTAGGACTTAATATGTTGGTTTTTTTGAGGTGTGCAAGGGGGTCTGGTGATGCTGAGATCAAACCCAGGCAAGTATTCTAACACTGAGCTACATCACTAGCCCTTAATATCTTTTTTCTGCTTTTGTTTACTCTTGGTTGCCTCATTCCCTGTGTATTGTCTTTAAAAACTTAGTTACAAATTGAATTCTTTTCTTTCTAGCATCCAGTTTTAGATGAACCAATAGCAGAAGCTGTCTGTATTATAGCTGATATGGATAAATGGACTGTCCAAGTGGCCAGCAGCCAGAGACGAGTAACAGATAATAAATTGGGAAAGGAAGTATTGGTGTCCAGTCTTGTTTCCAACCTGCTTCATTCCACTCTTCAGCTTTATAAGCATAACTTGTCTCCAAATTTTGTAAGTACATGTAAGGTTTAAATTATTTTGAGCATTCTGATAGGTGATCAGTGCCTGCTATATATGTGTATAGAATAATGCTGTTAGCTTCATCATTTTTCTTTGAAAGAACGTGTTGTGAACTGTGCATCTTTAGTCCCTACTGTGACAACATTTGGAGCTGAGATTTGGGGGAGGCACTGAAGATTAGATTAGGTCTTAAAGGTGGGCCCTGCATGATAGGACTTCGGCCTAATAAGGAACAGAGAGTGAGAACGGTTCTGTCTCCACCCTTTGAGGACACAACACGAATGGGCCTATCCACCTGGCAGGAAGAGAGCCTTAGAATCCCACAGTATTTGCACCTTGATCTTGAACTTCTAGCTTCCAGAACTCTGAGAAAATAAATCTCTGTTTTTGAAGCCATTGTGTCTTGGTATTATGGCCCACTGAGCTAAGACTGAAAGGAGCATGTACATATCTATATACTCTGTTTTCAGCACCCAGGATTTTTGACCATTTGTAATACGGTCCTGCAGCATTTCTAAACTTCATGTAGAATACCAGCGTGCTCTAAACCCTCACTATCCCGTCAAGAGTTTAGATGATCCGTTTTTTAATACTGATGTCTTCTAAATGACATCATTTCAACTTTGAGGGTTCTTTTCTCTTAGAATTATAAAATAGCATAGTTTTAAAACTCTGCAAGTCGACATAATAAAGTATATCTATGACAGGCCCATAGCTAACATCATACTGAATGGTGAAAGATTGAAAGCTTTCCCCCAAGATAAAGAACAAGACCACTTCTATTTAGCATAGTATTTGAAGTCCTGGTCAGGGGAATTAGGCTACGAAGAGAAACAAATGACTTCAAAATTGGACAGATAAAAGATTATCTGTTTGCAGATGATACGATCTTACATATAGAAAACATAGATTCCACAAAAGCTGCTAGAGCTAATATATAAATTAAGCCAATTTGTAAGATGTGAGACCTAGAAAAGTAAGTTGTATTCCTATATATAAGCAGTGCACAATCCCCCCACCAAATGTAAGGAAACATTTCCACTTACGATGACATAAAAAAGAGGGCCGGGGATATAGCTCAGTGGCACAGCGCCTGTCTGGCAACAGCAAGGTCTTGAGTTCAATTCCCAGTACAAAAAAAAAAAAAAAAAAGCATTAGCATAAAAAAGAATAAATTACTTAGAAAAGCAGGGTGTTGTGGTACACACCTGTAATCCCAGCACTCTGAGAGACTGAGGCAGAAGGATCACAAGTTGGATCCCAACCTGAGCAGTTTAATGACTCAGCAAGACCCTGTCTCAAAGAAAGAAGAGGGGAAGGATAAGGAAAAAAAGAAAAGGGGAGAGGGATGTTGCTCAGTGTAAAGTCCCTGGGTTCCATCTCTAGTGCTGCAAATAAAACAGAAAAACAGAGAATTAAACTAATTATATATAAATTTAGCCAGGGAGGTAAATGACTTATAAACTAAAAACTCCAAAACATTGCTAGAAGAAATTAAAGGAAAACATATGTGGAAGCACATACCATGTTCATGGATTGAAAGACAATATTGTTCAGATGAAATTACTATCCAGGGTGCAGACTGAATGCATTCTGTGTCAGTATCCCAATTACATTCTTTTTTCATAAACAGAATGATCCACCTTAAAATTCATACAGAAATCTGGGCTGGGGATATAGCTCAGCAGCATCGTGCCTGCCTGGCAAGCCCAAGGTCCTATTCCCAGTACCAAAAAAAAAATCACACAGAATTTCAAAGGAGCTCAGAAACCCAAATAGTCTTCAAAAGGAGACACAAAGCAGAGGGTCTCACATACCCAATTGCAATTTCCATCCCCGTTTAGGGCAACTTAGCAAGACCCTGTGTCAAGGTAAAAAATAAAAGAAAGGCCTGGGAATATAGCTCAGGGTGTGAGGACCCCAGGTTCAGTCCCCAGTACAGGTCAGGGTAAGGTGTGAAATAGAATAGAGAGCCACAAAAGAAACTCTCATATATAAGGTCAACTGACTTTATGTGGGGTACCAAGACCATTCAACAGAGAAAGGAGAGTAGTTTTTAACAAAAGATGTTAGGAAAACTACACATCCATGTGAAAATAATTGTGTATATAAAAATGAACTCAAAATGGGTCAAAGAACCAGACTTAAGGCTAATGTATAAAACTTTTGCAAGAAAGATAGTCTTTCTTTTGCAAGAAGGATAGAGGAAGGTAGTCTTCTTGACAGTTTTATTTTGTTTATTTATTTGTTTTTATTGTTTTATCTTTTTGAGACAGGGTCTTGCTATGTAGTTCAGGCCGGCCTTGAGCTCACTCTGTAGCCCAGGCTGGTCTTGAACTCACAACAATCCTCTTGCCTCAGCCTCCCGAGTACTGGGATTACAGGCATGTGCCACCACACCCAGCTTGACAATTTTAATGAAAATGATTTATTAAATATAACACCCAAAGCCTAGGTACCAAAAGCAAAAAACAGGTAAATTGGACTTCTTCAAAATTAAAAACTTGCCAGGTGTGGTGGCGCATGCCTGTAATCCCAGCACTTGGGAGGCTGAGGCAAAAGGATTGTTGCGAGTTTGAAACCAGCCTAGGCTGCAAAGTGAGTTCAAGACCAGCCTGAAGTGCAGTGAGACCCTGTCTCAAAAAGACCAATAAGTAAATAAATAAATAAAAATTTTTATTGTCAACAAAGTAAAAAAACAATACAGAGAATAGAGGAAAAGATTTGTAAATTGTATGTCTGGAAAGAGATTGATAATTAGAATACACTTGTGCTTGCAGATAATATTTTAATGAATGGTGGATTGACATATGTGTTTGGGTCTCTAGATTATACTGAAGCTGGAAAATTTCTATTGCCTAGTGCTGTAGCCATCTTAAAAATTCGTAGTACAGGGCTTTACTCACATTTATAGTAATATTGATACAAATAAAAGTTGCACTACCAATTAGATGAAAGTATAGCACATACAATATATATAGTTATACATGCTGCTGAGAATAAATGACTATGTTACTGACTTGTGTATTTATTGTACTTTTTATCATTTTTTTTTTTAGACAAGTCTTAGTGTGTAGTTCACAGTGGCCTTGAACTCACTGTGTAGCCCAGGTTGACCTTGAACTCATGGTGCTCCTCCTGAGTGCTGGTATTACAGGCGTGTGCCACCACACCTGGCCAGTATCATTATTTTAAAGCGTATTCCTTGATTTAAAAAGTTCAATGTAAAACAGTGCTATGCTGCTAGCAGCCTTATGTGTACTTACTCTTTGATATGGCATCCAAAGGCCATATCCAGTGTTTGACCTATATCAGTGATGATGAACCTTTTAGAGACCAGGTACCCAAACTGCAACCCAAAACCAACTTATTTATTACAGAGTGCCAACGTTATAGTTAATCCTGAATACTGAGGTTGTAGTTTAGATAAAACAACTGTTACCTGATGTTCAACTGCTGGGGCAACTTGGCTTGCGTGCTGGCATAGAGCTCTGCATGCCCGCTGTGGCTCACATGCCATAGGTTTGCCGCCACTGCCCTGTACTGTGCAAGTATGAAATCACTTAAGATTCTCATAGCACATGTTCCTGTTGTAAGTGATGCATAACTGCATGCGAAGAACTACAATCAATAGAATTTTAAAATGGGCAAAGCACTTGAATAGACTTTATACCAAAGAAAATACATTGTTGGCCAATAAGCACATCAAAATATATCCAACATCATTAATCATTGGAGAAATGCAAATAAAACCACAGTAAGATGCTATTTCATGCTCACTGTGATGAGTGGCTCTGGTAAAGATTATTCGTAGGATAACTGTAATTCAAAATAAATAGTTTTGAGTTTTATTTAACAGGTAGTTTTGTCTGCAGGGAGTGGACAAATGAGAACCCTTGTGCATTGCTGATAGGAATATGAAACAATGAGGGTAATGTGGGTGACAGTTTGGTATTTCCTCAAAAGGGTTAACATAGTCTATAGTACCAGATCATATTAGGAATTTTGCTTCTATATTTATAGTTAAGACTGAAACAGGGTGGGCCTAGTTGCACACACCTGTAATCCCAGCACTCAGCAGGCTGAGGCAGGAGGATCATGCAAGTTTGAGGCCAGCCTGAGCTACAGAGTGAGTTCAAGGACACCCTGGAATATATAGCAAGACCTTGTCTCAAAAAACAAAAGACTGGAACAGGTAATTATGTGCTAATGTTCATAGTAGAATTATTCACAATAGTCAAAAGTTAGAAATTCAATAACCTGTTTTTATTAGCAAATGAATGGGTAAATAAAATGTCGTATAATGCATAGAGTGCAATATACAGCCATAAAAATGAATAAAATACAGGGTACAACCTGGACTGACCTCAGAAATATCCTAAGTGCAATAAATCAGGCATAAAAACACAAATATTATATAATCTCATTTGTATAAGAAACAGTCAATTCATACAGAAAAAAAATAGAATAATGATGATTACTAGTGACTAGTGGATGGGGAAGAAAGGAATGAGTTATTGTTTAATGCGTTCAGAATTAGGTTTTGGATGAGAAAAATTTCTGCAAGTGGGTAATGATGAAGGTTACACAACATTGTGAATGCTATTGACGCCACAGAGTTTTAAAGTAATACGGTAAACTGCAGTATAATTTCATGTATGTATATATGTGCATATTTTGAAGTTACCATTTTATTGTTTCATTCTTAGACCATTTTCAGCCTAAGCAAGCATTATGGAAAAAACACACCATAAAACAATAAGTAAGCTAAGCACTCTATTCAGTTGTGTTTTAACAGTCATAAGATGAGTTTATATTAAGAGCTTTTAAGTGACTTTCATTGGAAAGGAATACTCTCTGGAAGAGTTTAGTGTTTTAACACCTGCAAACAGGATCAGTTCATGTGAAAAATCACCTATTTTAGTAAGATTGAGCAAATTAGTTGACCATAAACCAAACATACATGTTTTAATTATTTTATGTTTACTTTTTCATGATACTGGCTATGAACTACTACAACCTGTTTTTTACTCTCCACAGGAGAATACTGTATAGTCTTGCCTAATGTAAATACATTTGAGCAAATAAATAAATATTACATGTATCAAATTTGGAGTAGAAACATTTTTTAAAAGCTTTGGAAATGATCATTGGAGATAATTGCACAACATTTTGAATGTACTTAATGCCACTGAACTGTTCAATTTCAGATGGTTAAAGTGTTCTGGATTTAGTGGTACATGCCTGTAATCTCAGTCTGGGAGGCAGAGGCGGGACGATGAAAAATTCAACCCCAGTTTAAAGACATAGCAAGACATTGTCTCAAAATAAAAATAAAAAAGGGGCTGGGGGGAAATGCAAAAGCCCTTTAAGAAAAAGTAAAGAAAGGTTAAAATGGTAAATTTTAATGTATATTTTACTATAGTTTTTAAAAAGTAGAAGCTGATCTTTGATATGAGCCAGAAACAAATTGACATTCTTACTTTATCTAAAACCACATATTTAATGTGCTCCAAATTTTAGTTCATGTTGGAATAACTAAATATATTGTCAAAAACACAATCCTTTAAAATTTGGCACCACTATGAAAATTGAAACCCATTTTTTGATCTTGGTTCTTTCCTAACTGCAGTGTGTAATGCACCTTGAAGATCGGTTACAGGAGCTGTACTTCAAGAGCAAAATGCTGTCTGAGTATCTGAGGGGCCAGATGCGTGTTCATGTCAAGGAGCTGGGAGTGGTTCTTGGGTATGTTCATGGTTTCTTTTTTTGGCTTTGCTTTCCCATCATTCTATCTCTAGGAAAAGTGTGTTCCTTAGAATTGCCCTTTCTCCTTTTTAAGTATCTTTTCCCAATAAAAGCTAGGCACTCAAAATTTTGGTTACTCTGTACCATACAAAGGCACATTTCTTACTGTTATTCAGTGGTCTGAAAGGCATCTCTTGTGCCATTGCATATAGTATGCAATGAGTTAGTCTGGATGAATTAAAAATCTACATTTTTATCTTTCAAAAAGTAAAAAAAATACTCATTCATTATTTATTAAATGTGTCGTAAACTCATTATTCCAAGTATCTGCCTTGCCTTTCAGATGAGCTGACTGAAGTAACAGCACTCTCTGTGTGGTAGTACTTTATCTGCATCTTACTAATACTCCTCAGCATTAATTGTATATTATATCTGTGTCTACTCTGCTATTATTTTTTGTTTTTGTTTTTTGACACAGGGTTTCATTATGTAGTCCAGGCTGGCCTCCCAACTTGCAGCAATCCTTGTGCCCCAGCTTCCTGAGTGCTAGGATTGCAGATATGTACTATCACACCCAGCTTCTTTTGGAAGAAAACAGTTATTCAAAACACTAGCCAGAAGTAGAACAGGAAGTTGATGGAGGGCAAAGTATAACCCTATTTCATGTAATCAATGATCACTTTTCCTATTCCCTGACTGTTTTGTGCATGTATGAGCCATGTCTTGAAATACTAATTGGAAGAATTAAAATAGAATTTTTATGTCGCTCAGCTCTTTTTTTTGTATGTGACGCTGGGTGTTAAACCCATGGTCTTGCACATGATAAGTGCTCTACTGAGCTATATCCTGAGATGTTTTTTCCTTTCTTAAATTTTTATTTTGAGACAAAGTCTTGCTAAGTTGCCAAGCCTGACCTTGAACTTCCCGTCTTCCTGCCTCAGCCTCCTGAGTAACTGGGATATATAGGTGTACCACCACGCCTAGCCCATTATATATTTTGAGTTTCCATTTCTTCTAAAAATAATGCTAGAATGAATAGAATCTATGATCTTTGTAGGATAAATTCCTGGAAGTACAATTTTTAGTGAAAGGGCATGCATGTTAAATTTTAAATAGATGTTGATAAGTATTTTAATAGTTGATTCTGAATGCCATCTCTTCCATCACCAATATATAAATTCCCACAAGCTACTATTACCAGTCTTTTAAAATCTTTGAAAGCTTCTAGCTAAAAAGTAACATTTGATTTTATTCAGATTATTCTAACTAGGACTTAGTCTAAGAAACTTTTGCTGTGTTCATTGGCCATTTTTTTCCATAAATTATTTGTGGTAGGATGTCATACTGTAGAAACATTTTTAGCCAAAGCAATCTGCATATACACTATCATTTTATTATTAAACTAGATGGTACAATCATATGTTGGTACTTAACTGCTTTGAAACTCATTGAATTTTGTACTTGACACATTTTAATGCAAATATTTTGTCCTGGTACTTATAGTTTGTTGGCTACTTAATGTACAAACTTGAACTTGCCAGTGTTATTTCATGACTTGCTACCCTTTCCAATCAAAACAGTTTATTTGGTACTCGACCTGACTCCTAGAGCCAATTAACCAGTACCAAGGTACTACTGTAATATAGCACCTTTTGCCTTGCCTAACATATGGTCCATCAACAAGTGAATGAGATACTTTCCTGCATTCATGATTTTTGTTACTCTTGAGTTTAAAGGAGGCATTCCTTTCTTTTAAGTCTGTGGTTTTGGGTTCTACTTTCTGAAAAATTTCTGACCTTTGTTATCTTCAACTCCTACCTTTTGGCCAGGCTGACACCTTAGCTACTGGCTATAGTGACAGTATAGGTGGTAGTCACTGCTTGTAGAATTAATCTGAGTACGAAAGCTGAACTAAGTTTTCTTTGTTTCAGGATTGAATCCAGTGATCTTCCCCTTCTGGCTGCTGTAGCAAGCACTCACTCTCCATATGTTGCTCAGATACTCCTGTAACACATCTAAAGGTTAATTTTGGTGGCAAGATAAATAGAAATGAAGACGGTGCAATATGCATTTATGGAGATGTTTTTCCCCTGTTAGACTTCCATCTGAATGAATCCACCTCCTGGGTATCCTGTATCACATTGCGTATTCTGTGTATGTTGATGGCTTTTCTTTTTAACTGGACTCCTGGGTGGTGGTCGACTTTTAACCATGTGAAACTAAAGCAGAATAAGCAACTTGGGGTGAGGGCATTTGAAAAAGCCAAAGTATAAAATTCTACAAAGAATAAAACTACAGAAATTTCTACAAAATGAATAATAGTAAGGCATTTCATATAATGTCACAACTCATAAATACCAAGAGATGTCTCATGATTAAATGGCTCAGAAGTAGTCATTTCATTAAATTTTTAATTCTTTATTTCTAAGTTACAGATACCTGTAAAACTTTATTATCTTGTTTTGCAATTCAAAACAGCTAATTGCTGGTTATTTCTCAGAAGTATTTTGAACAGTCCATTAATTACAACAAACTGAGAATCGTGAGTGACAATGTGTGTTATGTTACCACCCAAGTGTACATATGTATCTATTTTTTTAAAAGCAGAAGTAGAAATATAAGACTGGGAAACTTGCCTTTTTAAAAAACATTTTCAACTGGTATTAATTGTACACAATATTGAACTCTATTACTTTCTGGTGAGTCTTCTGTTTCACACATCCTAAAATACACACAAAGCCAATCTTTTTTTAAGGCTGAGGAATGTAGACTCCAAAAATAAGAATACTACTTTATACTGTTTGTTTTGTAAGTGTGAACTAATTCTTATAAATGTTAATATTTACATATTCAATAAATGAGTTTAATAAATGAAACTTAGGGTTAAAAGTTGCACCAAAGCATTGGCAAAAATAATATTTTCTTTAAAAGTGCTCAGGTAGCCAAGGCCCTTGTTTTCCATATCAGCCCTTCTGGAACCCACAGGAGCAAAACATTTGTTTATTGCTTAATAATATTCAGTTTACACTAATAGAACTCATAACTCTTAAAATTGTTCTCCTTTCTATAAGAGCTCTTCCCTTCCAGAAGCTGATTTTTTTCAGACTTTTCAATTGTTATTGTCTTTGTATATAGTGTAGAATGTTGCTTGTAAGAAAGGCTAATAAGGAACCAAACTCCTGTAAGTAATGTAAATAAAAAGATGGGTAGATAAAGTTTTCAATATGCTCTACTACCTCAGTTTACTTGAAATACTGCATTATAGTTTTTCCTTTGATTATCTGGCCTAAGATACATGTAATGCTAGAAGATTCCTGCTTTCATTTATTTTCATCATATTTGATTAGCTTAAAAAAACCACTTAGTCACTATAAATATTTACTAAATAACTCATCCACTCTTGTTATTTAATTTTTCGTTAATTGATGGATGATTTCTCTGTTTTGTTTAGTCTTTGACTTTGAATTTAGAGCTTTGGGTCATATTTTGCTTTGCTCTTTGTGTTTATTCAAATCAAATAGAAAGAGAAAAGAGGTTTCCCTGGAATGTAAATCTGAAATGAGTGTACTGGATATTTACTTGGCCCATATCCTCTTAGCTGGTTGTAGTTAGTGCCTGAGTCTCCCATGGATGACTTGCTGCCAAAGAGTGTTTATGGGCAGATTTTCTTAATTTAATTTTCTTATTCCATTCATGAACGAAATTTTCTGTTGTCTTTTTTGGAATTCAACAAATTTATCTCTTTGGCAGAATTCAGAATCTAGAAAAGTTCCTGTATGGGCCATTGTATATTATTTTTGGATTGTGGCTCAGAATAATATGTAACAGGTAGATAATAACTGTGTTTGGGTGTTTTCTTAATCATCAGACTATTCTCAGTCCTATTTGAAATAGCTAATAAATTACTCTTTAATAATTCTAAATGTTCAATACGTGAATGGTTCATGCTACTGTTATTCTTAAAACTAATCTTTGCTGAGATGGAAAAGACATATAGTTTCTTAAAGAATCATTAATCCTTATAGGATTCCTGAGTTTTATAATTCTTACTCTTTCTATAATTTCTCTTACCTTCATCATAATCACTCTTTTGTTACACAAAGCCCAAGGAATGAGCTGCTACTACTCCATTAAAGTATGGTCATTATGATGAATATGAAAAGTTTTGGTCTGTTCACAATAATTTTTTCAAATTCTTATGGTACAAGTATCACATGTCAAAACACCTGTTGCAACAGGAAATGAAAAAGGGATCTCTTATATTATAGAATTAAAACTAATTTCTCCATGCATATGTACTAATGGTTTTTTTCCTGGCATTTATTAATGTCTTAATTTTATTAAGTTTGGCAATATTAAGTGCAATAAACCTACTAGCACAGATTTCATTTTGTTGCAGTTGGCATACACTGAGGATGATTACTTTGAAAAAAATCAGATTTTACATAATGCCTACTTCTAGTAGATATAAGAATATTTGCTTTCTCTAAGTTATTTAGATGGTGGATATATAAAATGTACATATTTGTTCTTTGTTCTGAATACATTTCTCAAATGTACACCTGTACTATAATAACCTCCCAGTTCTAGGGGAAATTTGTGCAATAAACACACGTCAATTTGATACATGACCTTGGTTTTTCTTTCATATGTTAATAAGACCACCGGATTCTAGTCCCAAGTTGGCATTTCGGGCATGAGACCTGTCCATACAGGCAGAATTTGCTTGCTAGGGTTGTGAGAATTGAGTAAAATAATGACTGTCAAGAATTTAATTTAGGCTGAGGCAGGAAGATCAAGGAGAGTTCAAGGCCAGACTGCACTACATAGTGAGATGGTGTCTCAACAAAACAAAAATGAACCAACCAACAAAAGAATTTAGCTTACTGCTAGCAAACCCCAAGTGCTTAATAACTTTTTGGCTGCTACTGTTATTAGGTAATCTGTCCATCCTTTTCCCAGTGGCTCTCACATATCATGGGAGAATTTGTAACATATATTCTTATGAATAAAAACATAAAAATAATACTAGTCATTGCTATTTTTATCTTTTTTCTCTTCTGAAAACAACCTCAGAAATGTTGCAAAATTTCTCAAGGTTTACATGTGTACGCAGCTCTTCAACTAATGATTCCTTTCCAGATATTTGACAATTTCTCCTTTAAAACAGTGCACTTACTCTTTTTAGTTAAATGTAAAAATGTTAACTTGTAATATATGAAAACAGGTACTCCAAGAAGCTTCTGGTCTAGACCTACCTTCAGGAGTAACTGCCCAACTAAGCCTGGGGAAAGCAGCTTCCCAGGAAGCCCACTGGAGGCTGAGTTACTGCTACCTAGCAGACACTAAGGATGAATGGAAGAGCTGACTCTAGCATAAGAGGACACACTGGCTCAGTCATGTGCAAATCAACCAGCAAACCAGGATCAGAACCTAAACCAGTCAACAATTTTCTGTTTAATTATAAAGACTACAGTCATTTGTATTAGGTACAATGTTTTTAATGGTTTTAAGTAGCTTGTCTAGATTTTAATTGCTTGGGTTCAGTTTGCATTTTTAAAGGAATTTTCAATTTAGCAATGAAACCATTTCAAAACAGGTTAGTAGGACACTTAGAATAATTAATAACTGCATATTGTTGTCTTCATAGTTATTGAGAGTACAAGATACAGGCACAATACTTTGTTCAAACAACATGAGAAACTAAGGTACAGAAAATGTAACATGATTATCTGAGGGGATACAGTCTTTCCTATATAGTCCATCTCAAGACTAGAGTGATTTCCCAGCTAGCTGAGATGAAGGATGTAAAGATATCCAAGATTTCTTCATTAGTCTTTGACAGTGTGAAAGATGCAGGGTAGCAAGTGAGACAAATCTGAACTATAGTTCCACTAGGGTAGGGGCTGGAAAATTGTATCTCGGTGTAGGAAAGGCTTAGGCAAATAGATGAAGAGTGAAGGGGATAGATAGATAGATAGATAGATAGATAGATAGATAGATAGATAGATAGATAGATAGATACAGATATGGTACTTCCTATCACTGCTCAGTAATGCAGACTATGGGCTTAGCTATCTCTTACAGCTTGTATCTAAATGTCTGCTCAAAGCGTCATGTGCTCATAGGCAGGGCTTTTTGGAACTGACTGGGGTCCGGGGTATGTGAACTTGAGTTAAGGGTGTGTGATCTCTAAGTTAGTCCAGTGATTGGTTTAACAGTTCTGGGGGTGGGTAATAGGAAGCCCTACCCTGGGTTTGGGTGGCACCACCCAAAAGTCTTGTAGCCTGGACAGAAAGAAGGCAGACTTGTTGCTTGTGGCCTCCTTCGTGCTCTGCCATGGGCTGTTCTCCTTTCTGATGCCCCTTTACTCTGCCACCTTGCCACCCTGCCTTGGAGCCAGTTGGCGATAGACTAAAACCTCTACAAACTATGAGCTGAAATAAACCTTCCCTCCTCTAACTTATGGGTATGTCAGGGTTTTTGTCCCAGCTACCAGAAAAGTATCTTAAGATAGCATCTTTGCTCTAGATTTAAGATTATTTGAGAAGGGGCTGAGGATACAGTTCAGTGGCACAAGCATCTGCCTGGCAAGTGCAAGGTCCTGAGTTTGACTCCAAGTACAACAAAAAAATTATTTGAGAATTCCCTAAAACATAAGCAGTTCAAAACAAATTTCCAACCGTTATTTGTTAGAACTCTGGTGGGGCATTTGGTCTTAAAGCATGTGTTCAAAGTACTACCACTGCCTCAGAAACCAGGACTTTTCTTCTGCTGAATGCATGAACCTAGAATAATCCCTTCATGAGATTGCAGACACCTCTCTCTGGGATAATACTGTCTGATAAGAACTCCTGCAGATAAATCTATATTTTTATTCTAGGGAGAAAATTAAGTTGAAGAGCCTTGAGCTTCCTTCCAAATGAGTCTTCACAAGGACAATGTAAAAACATGTCTTTTTATTCACCTTAGTGCTCAGATTCATGTTATTAATAAAGGGATATTATTTTCTTAAATTGTCTCTGTTAATGAAATGTGGAAATACAAGTAAGGTATTGCTATATCCTCAATAAACTTGTGGCACTCTGTTGAGACAGATTCAGTGCAATACTTGCCAGTTAATATCCTTTACTACGGTGTAGGGGCTGGAGTTAAAATGGGTCAAGAGTAGTCCAGAACCTGAGTCAGGGTGGTTTTCAAACCTAGTTGTATATTAGAAACACCTGGCTAGCTGGAATACATGCATATGTGTGTGTGTGAGTATATACACACGTTTTTTTCCCTTGGTGTTGGGGATCCAATCCAGGGCCTAGGACTGCTAAAGCATTTCAAATACTAATTCTTAGACTTAGGATCTAATTCAGTGATAATAACTGACCTAGATTCAGGATAGGAAGTACTCTTTTATTTTTCCACTAGTAGTGACTCGATCTTTAGCATACTCCAAATCTCCATTATTTGTTTCATTCTGGGTGATATTAAAACCAGGGCTATTTACCCCTATATTTTTGCTTATTTGCATTATTCTGGAAAGATGATCATATGATAATGACTTCATTCAGTTAATGAGCATTCAGTTTTGTGTAAGCAGCAGGTATCTAGCCAGATATCTTTCTTCACCACTGGCAGGCAGTCAACTGTGTGCGTACATTTGTGCAGGCATCTGTCCCTCTCTTCCTCCTCCTCCCTGTGTATTTCTGGCTTACTTGTTAGCTAGTTTACTTGCTTGTTTTGAGATAAGTCTTACTATTTTGCCCAGACTGGTCTGCAGTTCCTGGGCCCAAGTGATTCTCTTCTCTCAGCCTCTTAAGTAGTTGGGATTATAGGTGTACACCACCACAACCAGTTTCAAGTGTCTATCACCCTGACAGTGAAATCCCCTAACAATTAATTCAGCAAATATTTATTGAGCACCAGTTATGGCAGGCATAAGTTTGGATGCCATGGGTATGCCCTTGGATAACACACAAAAGAATTTTTTTTAGTCTCATGGAGTTTACATAGTTCCCCTTCATTGGAGGACAGCTCCTACATAATACGGTATCAAGTAGTAGTATAAAGAAAAAGGTGTTAACCCTGTTTTTAAAAGACATAACCATGTGTTACATTTTGTGTCTGGGTTTCCTCCCAAAGCCTCATTCAGTCATGGAGGGAGAGGCAGCTGAATCTAGAGTTTGTGATTGGTTCATTGTCTAGTGCTAGGATCGGGGGTGTGAGTGCTACAACCGCCCTAGGGTGGGTAACCTGAATACAATATAAGGGATGGAAAAGAAGCTTGCTCCTCCCTTTTGCTGTTGCTTTTGCTTTCTCCCACCTCTCCAGCCACCAATAACTGCTGCCTCTCTGCCAATGCCACCCTGCCTTGGAGCCATCTGACTACAGACAAATCTCTTTAAACTGTGAGCTAAATAAACCTTTTCTCCCTCAAATTTGGGTATTGGGTGTTTTTTCTCAACAAAAAGAAAAGTAAAACACCACATTTTTGTTTTCTCACAATTTAATAAATTACTTTCATTCAAACCTTTTTTTTTCTTTACAAGTCAGTGTGAGTGAATCCTGTTCTAAAGATCTCCTTTTCTCTGAAGAAAGCTATTAGAGCCTTCACTGGTCCTCACTTTATTCAGTATACAAAAGCATAATACAAGACAGCAAAGGACGAAGTAGATTTGGAAAATATACCCATAGGTTAATGGGTAGCATATTAGTTTTCAGTTGCCGTAACAAAATTACCCAAGGTTGGGCAATATTTAAAGAAAACTTTGTTTAGCTCACAGTTTTGGCAGCTGGTTGTCTTGGTTACTTTTCTCTCCTTGCTGAGACAAAATACCCAATGCCCAAAATTAAGGAAGGAAAGGTTTATTTAGCTCCGTTTGTGGAGGTTTCAGTCCATACTTGGCTGGCTCCGGTGGCAGGGGCAACAACAGTTCATGGCAGCAGAAGATAGCAGAACCCATAAGAGAGCACAGGGGAGGAGCAGAGGCAAGCAGCCTCTTTCCCTCCCTTACTTTGTATGCAAACTATCTGCCCCAGGGCAGGTGCAGCACTCACATCCATAATTCCTGCATTGGACCATGGATCAATCATAAACTAGAAGCCCACAGGCTTTGAGGGGGCATCCAGACACCATAACACTGGTAATACACACATCATGGTGCCAGTTCTGGCAAGGAGCCCCTCAGTAGCATCGCATGGCAGATGGTATAGTGGGTGTTACAGCTTGTGTCTAGAGGTCTCCCCAAAGCCTTCTGTACTCATAGGTGGGGCTTTTCAGAGGTGGCTAGATCTAGGGTGTGTAATATTGGGATTAAGGACATGTCATAACTAAATTGATTTAGCATAGTTCTGGGTGTGAATAATGAAAGGCCCACTGTCCTGTGGGCGGCACCAACCAATAGACTGGAAGCCTGGATGGAATATAGAGGAAAGATAGAAAGCAAGCTGCTGCTGTTTGCTGCATCATGTCTACCCTGCCATGGCTTGTTTCTCCTTTGTGATGTCCTCTGCCATGCTGCACTGCCTTGGAGACGTCTATGGACTGAAACCAATACAAACTGATCTAAAATAAACCTTTCCTCCTTTCAATATTTGGTGTCAGGTACACTGACGCTCGGTTCACAAACTTAATTGCAAGCATATGCAACTAGAATTGTGGAAAGAATTAAGTTCATGAACCAAGGTACCACTGTATTTTGTCTCACAATGAGAAAATTAAGAGAGTGGGAGTACATGGAAAAGTGAAAGGTCAAGTGTATTATGTTTTCAATATGTCAAGGGAGCTTGGTCTCCAATACACCACTGTTCAAAGCTGATGGACTCTGAAGAAGTGCCATGGTGACTCTCTTCATTGATGAATTAATCTACTGATGAGTTCGTAGTTCAGTGGATTTACTAGGCTTACTTACCATTGCATGAAGCAAGTCACTAGGGCATACCGCTGAAGAATATATTTTGTCCCTGGCCCCTTCCTCTAGTTGTTTTACCATCTACTTCTAGGCTGCCATAAGGTGAGGAATTTTGTTTCACTCTGTCTTTCCACCATGATATTCTGTCTTGCCTTAGGTCCAAAGTAATGGAGCTAGCCAACCATGGACTGAAATCTCTGAGAACCAAAATCTTTCCTCTTAAATTTTTCTCAGGTATTTGGTCACACCAACAAAAATTAACAACGTGATGCAGTGACAGAGGATAGGTCTTGTTCTTCTATATCAACCCTTCTCTTGGGCATTAACTGGGGTGCCATAACAACTACGTCGATACCTTTTGAGGGCACTGGCCCAGTAACTTAACTGCCTCCCATTAGGCCCCACCTATTAAACAATCCCACTGCATTATCAACACACTAGGATCAAGTTTCCAACACACAAACCTTTGGGGGACATAATACATACCAGATAGCCACTGGATATGAACTGTTTTTACTGCTGTAATAATAAAGCATGTTATTTTTGTATGCTGATTCATTTTCTTATGAAATATACAAAAAAATGACAATACACACTCATTAACTCACTCAGGCCGAGATTCTCAGCAGTACTGAAGCCACCTCCTCCATGTGCTCCACCCTGCTCCTAACCCTCTACTTTGTGGTTGGTGTGACTACTGATGTGATCATTGTGTGAACATTTGCTTGCTTTTTCTTTAAAATTTTTTCTCTTTATATGCATTACTACTGATACTGTTTAATACTGCTTGACCTCTGAGTGGACTCATACCCTGCATTATGTTTTGGATTTTTGTTCTCATCTTTATGTTGGATTCATCCATGTGCTATGTAACACATATTCCACTTTTTACCCATTCTTTCAATGATGGGTGTTTATGTCATCTCTGGGTTTTTGCTACTGTGAACAATGAACATTTTTATCATTTTTTGGTGTACATAGGCATTCTTTAAGACGTACAGTATATTAAGGAGTGGATTTACTGCCATGGGGTATGTATGTTAAGTTTCAGGGTTCGATTTTTTTTCCCAGAATTGTTTCCCAGTTTATACTTACCCAGCACTTGTAAGAATTTTTCTTGTTCCACATCTTCACCAATATTTAAATGTCTTTCTGAATATAAATAAAAATTCTCATTCTTCAAATTTGAATATGTTTTAGAGAAATTATTTCCCAAAGTAATAAAAATAATAATGCTTGAATTGTACAGGCAACATACCAAGAGGTTGACATGAAATAGTAATCTTGCATCCCTTTACTCTTACCATTTTATAGATGAGGAAACAAATTCAGAGATAATTTAAGCTAGGGGTGGGTGTACCTCCATAGTGGAGTGCTTGGGTAGCATTTAGGGGGCTCTAGGTTTGATCCAGAGCGCCAAAAAAACGCAACAACTTACCTAACAAGTAGTCTAAGACACAAATTGAAGTCTATTTCCCCCTAAAGTCCAAGTTCATGATGTTCATGGTTTCTTTCTCCTTCTTTCAGGATACTGTTATGGCTGAAAATTAAGCCTCGAAGAATGGAAGGGTAACTTTTGTGATACTGGGCAGAATTTTGAGAGGATGTTTATATGCGCGCGCGCACACACGCACACACGTACACCGTAATGAGGAAAACAGGTCGCCCGCAAAGCCTAATGAGTTTCCCACAGTTACTTTATTTCTGTAACGGCTCAGCCACAGATTCTCCGGTAAGGTTTTTGCCCAAAACGCGAAAAAACAGATGTGCTAATAGCATGTTGCAAACTTCAAGTTTGGGCAAGCCCCATGACCAGCGGAAAATACAGCGCTTACTGACATCAACTATCATTACTCTAAATTGTAGCCCTAACTCTGCTTTTCCTTTTATTACTCAAAAGCAATTTCAGTTCTTAGTGTGTCATTACAAAGTTACGGTGAATCAGTCCTTATTCGAAAAGACCCTGATACTTGTAAATCACCGAGTTGGTGGGGTATGCTAACTGCTGAGAGACACTATGGTGCACCTACCTGTGATCACAGTCCCCCAGTAGCTTTAAAATTCTGTGAAAAGGACAAGCCCACGGTGGTGCACCTGAGGAGGCCACATGATTACCGTGGCTCAGTCATGCTTAATGAGAAATGGTGTAAAGGGCTATTCTAAAACGATAGATTCTGTAATTGTCAGTAAACCTTACTGTTAAAACTGCCCTTGCAGCTAACTGCCCCGAAGGGTGATGTTCTTAAGACCAGTGAAGAAACAGAAACTAGCATTTTTCGGTCTATCAGGAAACAGACCACAACGTAAAAAGCAGGGCAAAAGCGCCCACTCCGAGCTCGGAGGACCCGAAGCGCTGCTGCCGGGGGCGGGCGGGGCGGTGGCAGCGCCGCTCAGACCCGGCTCTGCGAGTCGCTCACCGCGCTCGACGCGGCCGCACAGCTCTGCTTCTTCCGCTCTGGCGTCTAACACGTCTGCTTGCACAGAAAAAGCACGTTCTTGCGGTGGCTTTCACAAGACTTTTCGTTTTACTGTAAGGGGCGCAGAAAAGGGCAGTGTGGACTTCCGTGTTCGCCGAATGGCGGCTTCGACTTCCGCACGTTCCTGAAGAACGGGGCGTCGGGGTAGCAAGGGAAGCGCGCGCACCACTTCCGGGTTTGGGTACGAACAGCTCCATCCACGCAGAAAGCCTGCCCCGCAGTTCTCTCAACAATCTCCTGTTCGGGTCGCGGCTTCTTAGGGCGGCTTCCAGCCCCTCCACTGGAAACGCGAGGCCAAAGCCAAAGAGGGCCTTAGGCCAGGTCTCGCGACGGGTCTCCCTCTCTCCAAGGACCGGAAAGGCGTTCTTACGTCAGCCCCAGGCGCTCGTTAGTGTGCGCATGCGTGTTGCGCGTGCGCACTCGCCCTCCCACCCCCGCGCGGGCTTCTTTCTGGCCAGTCGCGCGTGGGCTGAGGCCCTGGGCGGGCGTTGCGAAGGGTTGTTTGTTTGAGCTCGGACCCTGTGACTGTTCGCGGCTCCCTCCGTGTGAGGAGGGCACACCCCCTACGTCAGTAGCATGGGCTGTCCTGTGGGCTGCTAGGGGGCAAGCTGGGGAGTGCGGGGCTGCGGCCATGAACTCGCCCGTGGACCCCGGCGCCAGGCAAGCGCTGAGGAAGAAGCCGCTGGAGCGGACGCCCGAGGTAAGGCCCGCGAGCCTGGCGCGCGCCCTCGGCCAACGGACGGCGTCGCCCTTCGGCCCGAGACCTGCCGTTTCCGCCCCGCTGTCAGCGCCTGGCACCTGCTGCCCGCTGCCTTCTCCGCGTCCCCTGGCCCTGACCCCAGCCCTCGCGCGGGCCGGACGGCGCCCGCCTTTGCTGCGGGCGGTGCAGTCCCGCACGCCGGTCCTGGGCGGGGACTTCCTTGTGTCTTCGTGGGAAAGCACCACCGCGGAATAGTGTTTTCCGAGATGGGGAGAATGTGGGCTGGGGGGCGAATTTGCCGTGCATTCGGGTAGACTGAAAAACAAGGTAGAAGTTGTACGTGAACAGTAGCGCCGTGTACTGCGTCCCGGAAATACTGTGCAGTTACCCAACAGAAGTTACACTTTGCGAAGTCCATGTAGAACTTTGCATCCAGTCCGATGGTTTTGTGGTAGATGGTGCATGTTTAAAGTTCACGTCTGTAGGTACTTTTTCAGACGGAAATGTTTACCGTGTTTTTTGATTGGATAGAAAACTTTTAGGTTAGTAGTAATGCATCAACTGGAAAAGTCCATTTGACGAGAGGGTTATTTCTTAGGCAAGTAACAAGAAACTGTTAGCCTTGCATTTGTGAGTAGTTAGGTTTTTTGAAAGGTTTTCCTTGACTTGGACAATTTCCTCTAATCGGTGATGCCTGTGCTAAACGAAGACCCCCCCCCCAACAACAATGTGGGTGGATTTTCTTGTTTATAGTTGAAATACCTTAAATCTTTTAATTTTTGCTAAGTCATTTTTGACTTTTAGATTATAGTGTTTTGCACAGTAAGTCTCAGTAACTTTGGTCTAGTCTTTTGAGACATGACAGTATTCAAGACATTATTGAAGCTGTGATAGGTAAAACTTTGTTGTTGGAGATACTGGTTTTTGAGTAAGAACAAAACAAATTTTACTCCTCCCAGAGTCCTCTTTTTGCATGTATGATTTCATGAATCTTAATTTTCCTAATGTGAACTCAGTGAAAGTAATCACTTTGAACAGTTGAATTTTTCCATAGTTTTTATATAATTAAGTGTCATAAGGATTACAATATGTACTGTAGATTTTACTTTTAAAAATTTAAAGGTTCTTTTGTTTTGTTTTTAGTCTTCGAGGCAGGGTTTCAGTTCTGGCTGGCCTTGAACTCACTAACTGTGTAGCCCAGGTTGGCTTCAAATTCGTGGTGATCCTTCTGCCTCAGCCTCCTGAGTGCTGGAATTACAAGCTTGTTACTTTTGATAAATTCATATTTTAATGCGAAGATCCTACTTCTCCTTAATAGCAGACTTACCTGTTTTGAGCTTAGGAAATTTTCTAAACTGTTCATGAAGTTTTATGTTTGCCAGTGTGTGGTAAAGTAATGTGTTAAGTACTTTGTCTTGTTTTACTGGAAGAGCAGCATTGTTCAAGGGATTGCTAAACTGCCTACAGCTCATAGAATAGAGCACTGACCTCTAGCAGTACATGTTAATTACTTGATTCATTGTCAGTGATCTTGAATGAGTGTAGAATTGTTCAGGGTGCAGACCTGTGAATAAGGAAATGATAACCTGAATCCTAGTGATGATTTATTTTGATACGTAATTTGATGAAATTTTTACAAGTTCATTTCTGTTTTCAGAAGGTCCTTATGTGGTTAGTGGACTGTTACGGGTCTGTTATAAATATATTAATTCGGTAATTATTTATTGAGCGCCTACCTGTTGTGCAGTAGGGAAGTATCAGTGAGTAAAACAGTACTGTCTTGGTGGTTTTTAATGGTAAATATAATAAAGTTACATAACACATTAGCTACTAATTGCTATGGGGAAAAAAGAGAACTGGGATAAAAGGAATTGGAAACAAGGAGCAAAACCTGGGTTTCAACTTAAACAAGGCAGTTCCCAATGTTCTAGTTGAGTTGACTTTTTTTTTAATCAGGAATCTAACTGAAGACCTTGCGCTTGCGAAGTAGGTGCAGTACTGATTTGCTAAATCCCTGGCCCTGAGTTGACTTTTGATTAAAGATAGTCACCTGATAGAATTGCTATAGGGTTATATGAGAAAAGCTTTGCAAGCAGAGGGAATAGTCAGTCATTGCAAAGGTCCGGTGATGAGAGCATGTCTTGATAATCCAGGAGTAGCAGGGAGCTCTGAGTGACCAGAGTAGTGAACTAGGGTGAGAGCAATAAGAAATTAAGTCAGAGAGGAAATAATGGTGATGTAGGATGGGATATATGTATGAAGGCTTTTTTTTTTCTTTTTGAGACAGGGTTGCTGTGCAGTTCAGGCTGGCCTTGAGCTCACTTTGTAGCCCAGGCTGGTCTCGAACTCGCAACGATCCTCCTGCCTCAGCCTCCCAACTGCTGGGATTACAGGCGTGTGCCACCACGCCCGGCAGGATGGGATATATGTAGAACTTTCTAAATTGTAAGTTCTTTGACTTTTATTTTTAGTGACAGGGGCAGGGGAACCATCTAAAGGTTTTGAAGTACAGGAGTAATCTCTACCTGAGTTTCAAGAAAAGAGTCCCCAGGCTGCTATGTAGAGTAAATTGCCCCAGAACAAGGTTAGAAGTAGGAAATGAAAGACTATTGCATTAAATTACATAAGAGATGATGTTAACTCAGATTAAAGTGATAGTGATGGAGGTGTTGAGAAGTACTCAAATTTTGGAAATATTTTGAATGTTTATCCAACAGGATTTGCTTTAATGTGGCTATGAGTGAAAGAGAAAATCAGGCATAATTTCAAGGTTTTGGGTCTAAGTACCTGGAGTATTTATTGAGAAGTTGGAGGTGCCATCAAAGAGATGGGGAAACAAGCTAGGGATCTAGCTCAGTACTAGAGTACTTGCCTAGCATTCATGAGGCCCTGGATTTTATGCTGTGACTTTTAGTTCTGAGAAGTCAGCTTTATTAGATTAAGAAATACCTAGCAGGATTTGGACTCAGAACTCCTGGCCTTTGGACTCCAGGATCTCACACCAGTGGTCCTCAGGCTTTTTGGCTCAGACTGAGAGTTAAACCATTTGCTTCCCTGGTTTTGATGCCTTCTGGCTTTTGTACTAAGCCATACTACTGGCATCCCAGGCTGTCAGCTTGTAGACATAGGCTCATGGGCCTTCTTGGCTGCCGTAATAAGGTGTGCCAATTCCCCAGTAAATCTTTTCGTATGTCTGTGTACAATTCTTACTGGCTTTGTTTCTGGAGAACCCTAACACAAGTTTGGTACCAAGTATGAGAAATATCGTTCCTTCTTATACTCCTTATAACACAGTGGAAGAAATCTAAAATAGTTCCCTTGCAAAAAGGCTGTGATAACTTAAACATACTTAAGCTACTTAATAGTGAAAGGTAAAAGTTTAAAAGCTAGTATTATTGGTGGTTTTCATAGGAAATCATTTAATTGCAACAACCAGACTTTTGAATGGATGACATATACTTATAAAACCTATAGACAAAATCCATGGTGAGCATGTTGAAGATCACAGAAGTAAAAACACATGTCAAAAATACTAGAATTCTCCCATGTCAGATTATTTATTACTGTACTATTTCGGTCCCTTCATCCATAGCACCTTACTTACTTTCAAAAACTGCCCTTTGTTAATCAATAAAAATAATTTGATAAGCTCAGTGAAGCAGTTTTTAAAAGCTTATTTCAAGATTTGGTAAATTTTGTAGAAGAAAAATGAGTTTCAGTTGAATTTTCAAACCACATGGTCAGATTTGGAATTAGATGTGATAAAAGATTTCTAAAAGTGAATTTGAAGATATTCCCAGTGAAGTTTTTTTTTCTTTTTTTTTTTAATTCAGCCCGGTGTGTTTGCTAGAAAATTCAAATGAGTATATTAGTCACACAAAACAGCTTTGATAAAAACTTTGATTTAAATGTGTCATTTTTGTGCGTTGCCATTCCTTTCAGCTGTTGAAATTCATGGAGCCTTTATTGAGTAAAGGTTGTATTTGCCCAAAGAAGCCAGTAAACTTACCAAGTGGTTTGAAAAATCATTATATGCACCATGGGATAAGAAGATATGTAATATTGCTCCTGTTCAATTTGTCACCAGTATTGTTTGTGTCCAACATGAGCTCTACATATTAGTGCATGCAGAATGGATTTTTTTTTTTTTAAAGACAGGGTCTCATTGTGTAGCCCAGGGTCTCATTATGTAGCCCAGCCCTGGCCTGAATTTATGGTGATCCTTATGCCTCAGCCTTCCAAGTACTGAGATTACTAGTGTATAATCTCCCAATGCCACTCTACTCAGGATGGATTTCTATGTACCAAAACACCATAGAAGTATGGGGTAGAAGGTGGGAAATTTTAATAAGAAATGCTCATGTTGCTGTACATTGAATCATAAAACAATTTCAAAAAGAACAATACCGGGCTGGGGATATAGCTCAGCAGCATAAGCGCCTGCCTGGCAAGTGCAAGGTCCTGAGTTCGATTTCCGGTACCAAAAAAAAAAAAAGAACAGTACCATATGGAAGCTGATTGTGAATATATTCAAGAGGAGGCATTCTTTAAGAGAAAGCAACTATTTATCTGGATGCAAAATACAGGCTTCAAAATACAGTTAATGATCTTGAAAGCTGGTCAGCGCTTACTGATTACCTCCATGTAATTGCCCATAGTCTATCCCTGAAATACACCTTTTTTTTAAATCATCTATTGAATTTTCATATTTTTTTTTTTAGTTTTCTCCCATGATTTTGAAGTACCAAAATTGTATCCCCAGCCTGCATTTTAAAACAATTATTTGTCATAGTGCGTATTTTCAATAACAGGAGGTATAAATTGTGTAAAGACTTAAGGAATTCTAATTTTTTTTTTCAAATTTGAGTCTATAAAAGTGTATTATCATAATATTGACTTAGTGTGTAAACCTTGTGCTTCTACATAAAAGCATTGAAATTTAATAAATGAAGAGGTGTCCTTTTTGTACATCTGAAAAATTAAGTTTCTTGGTCTCTGCT